CAAAAAACTAGCGAAATAATAAAGAACAATGCACCTTTATTTCCACCGAATTCGGCACACCATCTAGAAGATCACTTGAAAGAAAATAGTCCATAATAGACATTTACCGATTCTTCTTCACGTGGATGACTGCTTTTTAAGCTTCAGTGGCTATTATCAGTCTGCCCTCGTGGTCATTGTAAGCACCAAAGAAGCGCCGCAGCAAGTCTGTCGCATCCAGCGCTTGCGCGGGCGTTGGTACGTCGGGTTAGCTACCATTAGGCTCCGGGGTGTCGACACACTCATCACTGTCGTCATGCACCCCCGTTAGCACACGCACAATTTCCGCATCTGACAACTCTTTCGCAGTCACCGCGTCAGCACCAGCACCGACGTACTATCGCAAGACGAGCTGGAACGCGCGAGCGCGTGGCAAAGAGCCTCAAAACCGAGATAGTGTTGTACATGAATGACGCTGCCGAAACTGGCAAGGAAAGGAGGGGTGCTCTTCCATTAACTGTTTTCACTCTCGGTTCTCTGGCGTTGCTTCGAAACGGCAGCTTATTACGTGCCATCGACCGGCAGCAATGATAAGAGATTAAAGCATGCAGATTAAAGCATAATCTCTTGCCTAGGGTTCGACGCAAAAACACCCCTGTATCCCTTTACTTGCTACTAGAGAACGTCTCGCAAAGATGCCTCCTTGATATTGTAGCGCTAGCGTAGAAAAGAAAACAGTATTGGTGACTATTGTGCAATTTGCTGACCTTGTGGTTCGAGAAAAGTCGCAGGCTGTAGTTGGTTGAAAACATGTATTGTATGCTCCCAAAATTGTAACAAAATTTTAATGCGCACAATTTATCAGCTACTTCACCCTTTTCATGCGCATTTACTGGGCTAATAACGGGTCATGGCTCCACCAGCTTAAATCACGGCTTCCATTCTTTCTAGCAGAGACCTGTAGAGAGCCTCAATGAAGGCTGCGTCAACTTGAATATGTTTGCACACTTCTTGTAGAGCTTTCACAATTCATCAGCTGTCACAAAGTCCAAACCAAGCCTAGAAAGGTTAGCCTTCAGACGTGCCCACACATGTTCAATAATGTTCATGTCGGCACCCTTCGCGCACCACTCAAGGCGCATTACCCCTCGCTCATCTAAAATACGTGCGACGTCCTTTACTGAATGCATGGAAGGCAAGTCCTGCTGGAATAAATAGCATCCATGCAGGTGTAGGCCATTCAATAAATATAGATACATATATGGCCATTCAATACATCTCATGCTTCAGCAGCGTGCAATACGCATTACTTGTGAATCTCCCAAAGATTCTCGCAAAGGGACTTAGGCCGTCACGCGAGATAGCTGCCCAAGCATTTTCGATGTGCGACCACTTGCGGCTACCTCCTTGATGCTGCGGACAGAAGCGAGTGTTCTCCATGCGCTTCTCCAACACGCTCGCGTGTTCGAACTCGTACTGCTCACGATAGTACATGCAGAATGTTAAGCAGAACGCCGGCGTCAAGGGGAGCGTCCCACGGCGTCTGGGCCTGGTTGCCCATGGCACCCTCCCTGGCGGACATCGCCGAAATGTTCTACTAGTTTCTTTTTTTCTCGACACTGAACTCGACGGCTTTCAACAGCGTCGACTTCTGCTCGATTGTTATATTTTTGCACTTACGTTTACCGCTCCTGTTGTCCATCTCGTGTCGGGCGGCGAAACTAATGGAGGTGGTGTTGCTCTTCTATAGCGAATGTCAAGGAACATAGCTGCGATCTCCGTCGTCCCAGTGCGGAGACGAAGAGGAGGAGGAGGTCAGATACGCGGCCGGGTCAGTGAGTTCTTCAGGAGAGGGGAGGCTGGCTGACGCGCTTGCTCGCGTGAGTTGCTGTGCAGGCAAGTGCATTACTTCCTGAGGAAAGGGGAGGCAGGCAGACACAGCTACACGCGTGTTGGCAGGCGTCTCCCGGCGAGCGCAAGGGGCGACTTATGAATAACTGCAGCAGTGATGATATGTAAACCGTCGCGCGCTAAGATATTGAATTGACGTATACCAAAATGATCAGTAAATGCTCGTTGTGGACAAAGGATGGTACGTTATATTCATTGTCAGGAAATTTTTCCTTCATTAAAGGTGTTTTAAATACATGGCGTCTATGAGAATTTTATGGTGAATTACAATTTCTTTGTTATATCCATTAGTTCGTCATATCCCGCTTCATTATAACGAGGTTCTACTCAACACGAAGCAGCGCGAGAAATGAACGTGGGCTTTACCGCTGCTCGACAGTGGTGCTCCTAAGCATGAAATCAAGTGCACATGCATGTGCACTTAATTGGATGCCCTGGATATCGTCGTTGTATAGGATTTTAACTTCAACGGCAGGGTGATGTCCTTGGAATGCGAAAATCTGGTTATCAAACCTGTACTTGAGGCCTTTTGCGGTCTCTCGCCCTTTTATTTTACAAAATAAACAATATGTCGTGCTTGTTGCATGTTGGTTTTGTTCCTACGTGTAAAACCGTATTTACTCGTGTAATGAGCGCACTCTCATAATAAACGCAGTTCCAACTTCAGTCGTCGAAATTTGGATTTTTTTCTTCACATAATAAACACCCCACTTACATACATCCCCCGCAGTCCTGCTAACCGACACCTGGCGCCGACTTACCCTTTGGATCTCTTCCGTTTTTTTATTCATTATGCCGACCCCTCTTGGCTACCTCGGCTCGCTTCCTCCCCCCCTTTGCCTATGCTGCGTGCCGTATTGTTATATATATATATATATATATATATATATATATATATCTGTGTGCGGCAGGCACATCCTCCTCTTTTTTTATCTGTGCGCCACAGCGGGCTCACGAATGCAAGTGTAGAGACATCACAGCTGATAAGCACACAGCAAGCGAGAGTGAGTGAAAGTTCCGAATCTGCCCGCGCGGACCGACGATCGCTTCCTGCAAATACAAAACATCAAGGCCCAACAACATGCTATGCATGCTATTTTGGAGCAACGACGACAGGATTTGCTGTCGCAAAGGGTCATTCGTCGCTATCGCGTCTCAGGTTTCTAGAAAACCAGAAAAAAATCGCTTGTCAATCAGAAAAGATCGTGACGATTTCCACAACATGGTAGCACCCTCGATAATCGCCTCGCTTGTTCGCCGCACGTACAGAAACTTCCCAAGTGGAAGTGAGGCAGCGGTCGCATTTTGTCGTTAATTTTGTTATAGACGATTTGTTTTGATGTTTCGGGGGTAGCTTGCAGCAATGTTCCTTACTTGCAATAATAACAACGGCATCGTCGTGTGAGGTTGCCGCGAAGTTGGCAAAGTGTGTCATAGCGCACGCTTCTGGCTGCCCCTCGATATCACAGCAGATACCACTGTAAAGGTAAAACGACTTGCGGGAAAAGATAGCAGCAATACGCTTTTATGGCGTGCGCTGGAACAGCTTGCAGAAGATAGCGCCATCAACCACCGAAGATGAGTAAAGTGCAACAAAGAACCTCTTTCCAAACAGTCTATGCGTCTGCGAAAAGCTAAGCAACCTAATTTTTTTTTTTTTTTTTTGCATTACAGCATATTTCGCGCATGCCAAAAAAGTTTGCATAAAACCTGCCCCATACAATAAACACACCCCCAACTTTGCTCCAATATTTCGAGAAAAAAGTGCATTCATTACGCAAGTAAATACGGTATTCATTGCTGCAACCGGGTTTCGTTTGCAAAGGGGTTTTGTTTGCGATTAGAGTACATATATATGTCGATGGCGTACGTGAGTAACCCAATGCAGAACTAACACCACTGCAATCACCGTCGTGAACAGTGACATATCTCTAGCCTTCTGCTATAGTTGCGCCCATTGGACCTTTGGTTGCCGTCCCCCTGCAGAATGAGGTTGAATCTCACCGCTCCACAGAAGTACTGGCAGCCAATTTTTGAAAGCGGCAACAGCCTGTTCGCAAGAAGGTAAAGAATTCTCTCATTAGACTCGACTGATGTGTCCGATAATGAAAACATTAATTATTGTTATTTAAATACTGCTGCAATTACAGTGTCTAGCGATTTTAAGATTTCTGACGTCGTTCCGGGAGCCGCATAAAACTGCCCTGCGAGCAGCATGTGTCCCGCGGGCCACAGCTTGCAGACCCCTGAGATAGACGGCTTGGCGCAGTTTGGCGCAATTTACTTTGATCTTATCAGGTTGGCGCAGCAAATCTCATTTGGCGCACTTTGGCACAGTTGGTGCAGGAATGGGATCCCTGTATAATTTATCAGCCAAAACTAAACTTTCTTAGAACTTTGCCTGCCTGAGCTTGTTGGTTGCGCACAGCGAGGGCATTCCAGCCAACTACTTAGACGAGGACAGAAATACAGACCCAGAAGTGTGTTATCTGTTCTTATGTCTTATTCCAAGTGATTCGCTGCAACACCCTCGCTAAATTTATTGTTTCACCTCAGTATCCTTTTAAGCCTCGTTATCAGAGACTGCAAGACCCGTCATATAGCTTAGAATGTAAGGTGCTATGCTCGAAAGCTTAAAAGTGTGGCGTTTCAATCCCAGCCATGCTGGCCACTTTTTGGTAGGGGAAAAATGCAAAGTACAGCTTAGATTTAGGTGCACTTTGAAGAACTCCAGGCAGTCGAAATTGATCTAGTGTCTCCTCACTACGACCTGCCTCATAATCATATTATAGTTCTGGCACGTAGAACCCCTACAATTATTATTGTAATAGGCTCCAATTTACAAGATCCTCAGTGCAACAAAGTATTTCACTTGTTATAATGTCATATATGTAGAACACAACATAGTGTATTCCCTCGTGCCAATTGCCCTTTGTCCCATCAATTGGGAGTTTCAAAGAGGGCTCGAAAATTGTCTGATGTCATCAGTTGCATCTCCAACCTCATACCATATGAAATAGCTCACCTAACTGAAAAATCTGATGATTGCAACCAAAAAATCAGCTGACCGTAAGTGGCAGCAAGTGATTGCTGCATCTTGAAACTCTTACCCCTCGTCCTTCCTTGTGGGAGTGGCTGCCACGCAAGTCTATGTAGACAGCATCCTTGTCGAACACAACACCTCCAACTCCAGCCATAGGAGCATAGAGGAGACGCTCCTTCTCATTGAGAGAGCGGCGCTTTTCCTTGTCAGGTAGCGGGCACGGGTCAGGAAGCAGGCTAATGTCATGAATGTTGAAGTCACCACAACCTGATTTAGAGAAAAAGAAGATGCTCACTGTGTGAACTTTACGACAAATGACATTTTGTAGTGAGAGCAACATTGGCTGTTTTCTCGCGGTTTCGTTGTGGCCAATGGCCGCTACGCGAGCTGAGCCGTCACCTATCAACTGCCGCGTTACTTGGCATGACATCAAAGGAGGAGCAGGCATTGCATCATATATAAAGAAGGCGTGCCTCTGGTAGGATTTGTTGACAGATATGAAAAGCGAGTTGGAGAGACTGAAAGAAGCCAAGCTTCGTCGACAGAACAAAGCCAAGAGGAGGCAGCAAGCGGAGGATACGGAGGAAGAACAAGGCGCACGCCTAGAGAAGCGTAGCCATACAGAGATATTAAGATTACCCGTATCTGTCGATTCCATTATAAGAAACAAAGAACTCTTTTAGAATAGAGCTACATTACAGATGTAGCTGTATGCGCAAGCACACACATTGACAGTGTCCTTCCAAAGCATATATTGCAAGTGAAAAAAAAAAAAAAGAGAGAGAGATGAGTGTGGGGCAATGAGAAAAGGGGGAAAGGCTTTAAAGGAAGATTGAAGCTTAAAGTCATTAACAGTGGTTAAGGTGGGCCAATACTTCAAAAATGTGCTTCAACATTTGGCTGCAAAGTAGCAATAATAGAAGCTATGACTAGGAAAGTTGCAAGGAATCTTTAGCATGACAGATGCAAGTTGCATTGGAGCACAAGATTATTTTTGGAGTGTAGTTGATATTTTTTAAATTTTTTGTTTTTAATTTTCTCACGCATGCATTTTTTTCATCATGTGTTTTCATCTTGTTGGCACTTATAGCTATTTTTTTACTTTTTAATTTTTTTTTCCATGTGTGCACTTTTTTGGTCTTGTGCCTTCATCTAGTTCAAACTCATTTTCCAGAACGCATTATCAAGCCGCCCACCTTACTACCCTAGTACAGTAGATTAATTAAACGGAACCCGAGGAGACCAGGAAAATTTGTTCCCCTTAACAGGAGTTCCATTATATGAGAGATGACCTGGGTTTCAGAATGAAACAACAAAACCAATATTGTCAGAAGCACTTGCAGCATTTGCTTTTAACCGATTTCAGTTTAGGGAGCTTATTGCACTTTTCTCTTCAGATTTATTATGCGCAGAGAACCGCAAATCTATATCAAGGTAGCCATTAACCCTTTACAGTACTGGAACTAAAATTCTGAGCATACAATGAAAAAATTGTATTTATGTTGTTTACACGTGTGAATTAATGCAAGATGCCCCTTTGAATCTTTTTGAGAACTAGAAAGGATCGGTTATTGCGATCTTTTCTAGTTTTCCACAAATGAGCGACGTGACAAGCGGCGGCAACGAATGGGCTTCTGCTACAGCAAATCTTGTCACTCATCGCTGTCACTAAAAAATCGCATGCATGCGATTGGGCCTTTAAGGGGAGATGCTCCTCTGAAAACTATTTCTTCAACTATCAGGGTGTCGACCAATTTGCTTTTTCAAAATTCCCTGATTTTTCCTAGTTTTTCATGATGATTTAAAGCAAATTCCATGACCATTACGTCTGCTTCCTCGGGACCCTCGAGTGGTGAAAAAAAAAACTAGGCGCTCCTATAAAATAAGTAAAAAAATATACCACAAGTGCTCAGAATGTTCTGAGCACGTGCAGTAAGTACGAAAAAATACGTATATCTGGCCAAAATGCAACGTCCGAGTCAGCGAGTAAGCAAGTTGGCTGTGTATTGTTTGGAAGAAGCAGAAAGCAAATACATGAGTTAAAATTAATCGCAGCTAAAAGTTCAAAGGAGCCAACGACTGTCTTACAATGCAGCCATAGCAGCTAGAAAACGTAGAATTCGCAGCATCTCGTGACATCTGTGAAAAAAGTAGGATGCCAGAGCCGGACCGGTTCTGCCAATGGAACACCTATATTCTAGTTCACTATAATATGACTACAGCCCAGGCCGTTAGGATGTGGATTGGATTACATTGACCTGTATTTACTGACTTTACTGTTTAGGATGAGGATTGGATTCGGTCTGATGCAACCTGGATTGCTGTATTTCGAGTTTTGGATCCCCACACCTGTAGTATATACTTTTCAGCAAAAAAAGAAAAGAAAAAAAAAACACTACTGCTCGTGTTCTGTGCACCTTGCATTGAACAATGACTAACAACAACGTCGCAAAAACGGAGCCGTACTGCATAATTTTCTTTCTTTCTATCTTTCAATTTTGTTTTTTTTTTTTCCGCAACGAGCACATGCATGTTGATGTTTCGTTTCTCTGGGCTCAGACGCTTAAGAGTTCAATAAAGTCCTCAGATGCCTGGAATGAAAGCTAGGGGCAGCGTTTAAAGCAATGACGTTTGAAAATATGTTGGCAAAAAAAATATGTCAGGGCGCAACAGCTCCCTCGATTCCATATATTTATCACATATGCTGGCTGGTTACCTTCGTTTGTGTACTGTTCTATGTACATAATGCTAAAAAGTAATCACAGCTTTAATAATACCACCTCAAGAAACTGAAATGAGAAATTCAGATGAAGTTACCCAACTCTACCCTTAAAACGTGGACCACCAGCAATAAATGTGTAGCTGAGGACGTTTGCCGCTGCATCGCCAATAATAATGACAGTGATAATAATAACAAAATGCATGACATAGCCTGGCAAGCCTTTGCTAATGGGAGTCCTAGCCAAACCAGAAGGCCTTCAAGCCGACCCGAATCATGGTCAAGACAAACATGCTCAAATTTAATGACGTGAGTAACGTTGTGGTTGGAAAGTCAGGTATGTTGTGTGATATGTAGAAGCAACAGACATCAAAATAGAGTATGTACGAACATGGAAGTTAGGGAACACTTTAGACAACACAAGGAACAAATTACCAAATGAAAATTTACACTGTCTCTTTTACTTTAAGCTGACATGATTATAACAACAAGTACATCGCGGTGAGACCACTGACTTCAAGGAAAGAGTTAAACAAAACACGAATATTACCTCAGGAAACTACGCGTGACCTCATATGCTCTCGTGAAACATGTGAAACATGTGGAATCTAGACCAAACTGATTGGTCAAGTGCGCTTGTTCTGACCAAAGCAAGCTTGCATCCTGCGTGCACCTGGAATACCAGCACATGCATACAACTGCACATATGCTGAACAGAAGTGATGAGACGCTTCCAACAATGTACTTCCGGTGCTCAGGTCACGTACTTAGGCGTACTTAAATAGGCTTTGCCTTATGGATATTATTCGGAACAAGGCTCTCGTAGCGAATCCCATAATGTCAGTAAACTTAGTATTCTTTTGGTAGGTGTATCCTTTCACGTCTTCACTATGAAGCAACAGTTGCGCACTGCTTTCTTTTTTCACACATCTTTTAGCTCTTCACTGAAGCTGCAGCCGAAGGAGTGGCTCCTTAAGCTTTGATCAATGGTAATGCTAATTTTTGTGACGGTCACACAGACTGCCGTCAGTGTCAAACATTGACATAATAGGTAGGGGGTGGGTTGCGATGAACCTTTGTCCCCTCTGTAGGGAAAACTTGCTCCCGCCCATTCTCACTACAGATCTGGTGTGACGTCACTGCAACTTTCGTTTCTCTTCCTATAGAACTACGATAGTTCTGGATGCACTTGCGATGGGCTTCGGTGCGGAGAACGAGCGTTTAGGTATACTTTGAAGGTGAATTTAAATATACTGTGTTTACTCGCGTAATGAACCCACCTTTTTTTTTTTTTTTTTTTTTTTTTTTTTTCTCTCCAGGAAAGTTGACGCCACTTTGGGATAGGGTTCATTAGGCGGGATAAAAAAGTCACGGGAGATATAACAGTGAAAACTTCGCATGGTGGTTTTTCTTGTCTTGGTCCGCAAAATGCACAGCAAATCGTTTTCATAGCCCCAAGCTCTTCTTCTTTTCTATCGTAATGAACGCACACAGATCGTGCCGCCCAGCCGGTCGATTGCCATGCTACAGCGCAGGCTCAACCAACTTTAGGATTAAAGCCAGCCGCGTAGATAGCATACCAGCCGAACACGCCCGGCACAGCAGGTGTCCAACTAAGTTCACTACGACAAACCCTACAACAAAAACGCAGTGTTGGATGGCAGCACACAAAGGTTGCGGGAGCATAACACCCCATAGGCGCGGTTGCCCGTTGCATGAACTCCTAGATGGCGGGCGCGTGACGTGCACTCTATGGTGGCATGTTTCTACGCCGCACACCCGCCGCCGTGGAGGCCATGCGCTTTGTTTTCTTGTTACTGTGCTTGCGTGGCACTATAAGCAAGGAGGTTTCTCCTCTATTCGACAGATGGTGCTTTGCTGCAAAAGGCACGACTTTTAAATTTTGATTGACTTCGTCCGAGCTCACGCTGCTCGCAAATGTTTAGCATGATTGTTAAACTATGTTTTAACTTTTATTGTATCATTACTTTGTGATATAATGGCTTGATTACACATCAACGGCACTGGTTATACCAAAATACAATAAAGATATAAATTTTAAAAATCCTTGTTTTCTTTTTCCAAGGATCAAGTTGGCGGGTGGGTTCATTATGCGAATGAGTTCATTACGCGAGTAAATACGGTATTCTAAATGTTTGCTGAATCCAACCATTCTTGTGAAGTGTCCTAGCATACAGAGAAAACCCACAAGAGACTTGTTTTAGCATTGAAATTTGGTGGCACCACCCCCTTAAGGAGAAGGCTTGGAGAAATACAAAACACAATAAAACAAAGAATCAATTAAAAAAAAAAATCACACTTTTTCAACCCGGATCTCCCCTTAAACATTGGCTTTAAAGGGGTACTGACACAAAAACTTTGGCCTAACGTTTTTCTGCTGCAATGTGTAGCTAGGGGCCTGTTAGTCGTGACACAACACATCGTTCACTGCAGCACACATTACAGGCCCCTTATTATTGATCAGTTTAAGTTTCGGCTTGAAAGAGCTCCAAAAGCTGGGTGCAACTGTCGCCACCTAAAGTGTGAAGCTTTTGACCACGTCAGCACATAGAACTGACACACTTTCGTACGGCCCGCATCAAGAATTACTTTCGAATAGGAAACGGGACTGCAGCGTCGCCAAACACAAGACTTTGTAACCCTGCGCGACGGCCACGTACTTGCAACAAGCCGCCGAAAAATATAGACAGCAGTAACAAACGTGGCAAAAAAAAAATGGCGGCTATGACATCATCATGACTTACAGTATGGTGATGTGAGGGAAGTAGAAAGTCCCCAAAGGGTCCTCTTTGAGGGTGTCAATGGTACGATGGAGTTGAGGGCTTATGCAAGCTTCAAAATAATTTGAAATACCTTCCCAGCTATATTCGCTGTTGATATTTTACAGATGACATATGAAAGTTCTTAGAAATCGACCCCACAGGCAATCTTAGCCGCGAAATTTTGTGGCAGTGCCCCTTTAAAGACGTTCCTTGTTCTAACGTTACTCATCCCAGGGGTCTAACACGCGCTACCCACAGACCTCTTTTTGGTGGGCCAGCCCAGACGACTGTCTTTGTTTTATATCTTTGGCTAACATTTTGTTAGTCAAATATATGAGTCCCGGCCATTATGAGAAGATAAATTTTGTGACTGCACTCACTTGCTGGAGCGAGTTTCAGATTCCTGATTTATCACAAGGTTACTATCTCTAGGCACAGAGCCAACCGGGCAAAAAGCACATTACTTGCCAGGAATGTGTATGTTGGTCTTGCTCTTGAAGCTTGCTCCTCGTGCATATCCATAGACGCAGATGTTTCGATCACATTTTGGAGACGTACGAACTGACTCTGGATCAGTCACATCTTCCATTCGGTCCACCAGCAGGTATGGGTGAGATGTCCGCCACTGAAGTGGCCTAAACTTCATGACTGAGATAAATCTCCCGAGGTTGTGTATCTCATTCTTCAAGTATTCCCCTCTGATGAGACCTGACAAGTAGAATAGTTTCGCACCCTGCATATGCAAAAGGCGCACACATTAGCAACAGCATCTGCGATCACACTTTAGTGGACAAAAAGCACAAACTACTACAACACAGAAAGTTAATGGTACAAAAGACACGGCAATGAACGATAAGTTGTCAGAGGGAATCAAATCACATACAAAGCTATTAAATAGCATATTGTAATGAGTGAGCATATCTTCTCATGTTGCAGTTCTTTTGTGCTGCTTTTCCCATGAAGGTCAACCAACTATATTCAACGACAACTTTTCTTAACAGCACCATGAAAGTTACAGAACCAAAGCACATGTCTGTCATCATGGCAAAAAGATAGTGCTCAGGTTTAGTTATAACTTTCATATGCCTTGCTGAAATAAATACTGCTTAATTTACTACAAGACTATACTCAGCGACAACTTTTCTTGGCACTGAAGGGAAAGCTTTGGAGCCAAATCCTGTGCATCCTACCCCCAGATAAGGAAGTTCCAAAGTACCACCTGTATTTTTAACGTGAAATATAAATCTTCCTCCTTTATTTTCTACCTGGAGCTATTTGAGACAGGACGCACTCCCACCTGTAAGATATTTGTATTTTTTTTTTACTTTATCTGTTGTGACTTTGTGTTTTTGAACGTGTGAAAAAGTGCCACCATTTTATGTGCACCTCAAACGCTAAGCGGCGTCCTCACCTACATGAAACGCTGATGGTGCACCCCCATCACTTTCCACAGCGCTACGAGACTCACACCAAAACGGACTACTTTGCGTAGTTCTACATGTGCAGAAGTTCCGCCAACGTAGCTTTGCCTTTAATGCCAAGAAAAGCTGTCGCTGAGTATAAAAAAAGTTACGGGAAGTTCTTAAAAATAGTTATTGTTAACCTTGCAAGGGTGCTTTCCTCTTATTTGTATTTTCTATACAGCATCACCTTTTCAGCCCACTAATTTTCCAAGGAAACAATGCGCCCATGATGTCAGTGTGCAACCATAAGCGCACCGTTTAGTTCTCCAAGAAAAATATTTTGTAATAAAACATTAAAATGTGCACTGAACAATGGAAATGTCTTTGCCATTCCTAATTTTCGTGTATATGTTTTTCTAAATGCATTAGCGATGCGGGCGAGCAAAACCTAAAGCAAACCGCAAGCTAACGCCCTAGTTGTGGAGCAACACGAATGCGTGGAAGTCCCACATCCATAGCTTTCGCTCCATTGTCAAGATAGGTTGTCACTAAGTGCTATAGCACTGTTTTGCATGCTATTCTTGTACTATTGCTCTCAAGTTTATTGACATAAACATCTATACATCTATAGTGATCCCCGGCCACTACAGATGAGTGAACCAAACTTCTGTTGAAGTGGTTACAAATGAAATGTTTTCTACCTTCTGGGGGTCGAATTATTTCGCGAAATGCAATCCAAAGATGTGTCATCTTTTAAAAGAAAAATCTGTCTAACATTTTTTTGTGTGACCATAATGTTACAAAAACAAATCATTTTTGTTGTTACATACACATGGTTTATTCACAGTAGCATCAAACAAAATCCTTTAAAATAAGCACCAATTTGTAACAGCAAACAACTTTGACTCGCATCCTTTACCTGTCCGTTCTGGTGTACCTCAGGGGTCCGTTCTCGGGCCCCTTCCGTTTCTAATTTATATAAATGACTTACCGACTAATATTCCTTTTTCAATTAATCTTTTTGCAGATGATTGTGTTATTTATCGTGAAATTAACGACAATAACGATGTCTCTTGCCTTCAATCCGACATTAACAAGGTCATGGACTGGTGCAACACTTGGAACATGAAACTAAACATTAATAAGTGTGAGCACATGCATATTTCTCGAAATTCTAGCCCAGCTTCCACTTACCACATTAACAATGTCTTTCTTGAAACTGTGCTCTCTTATAAGTACCTAGGTGTTCACATTTCTTCTAACCTGTCTTGGAAAACTCATATTCATTATATCATAAATAACGCCGACCGCATGCTTGGGTATATTTGCAGGAACTTCTCTCATTCATCCAGTTCAATAAAACTATTACTTTATAAAACACTGGTTCGCTCAAAATTAGAGTATTCTGCTTCTGTCTGGAGCCCTGGCATTGAATCACTCATTTCCGATTTGGAAGCTGTGCAGAACCGTGCCTGCCGTTTTATACTCTCCAACTATAACCGAACAAGCAGCGCAACCGCCATAAAATTAAGTTTGTCCCTCTCTGCTATTTCTTATCGCAGGACAGTAGCTTCATTATGTCTTTTTCACAAAATTTATTACAACAGCTATCTGAAACAGAAATTATTAACAAGGCCATCATACATATCAGCTCGAATTGATCACCGCAATAAAGTTGCAGTTCCATCATGTCACACCAAATGTTTTCATGACTCATTCATACCCCAGAACTTGTGTCAGTTGAAATGATCTTCCCCATGATATCACTTATATAACTGATAATAATATGTTTCATAAAACTATTAATCTTCTCTAAATGTTTGTGTGTATATATATATATGTTTGTATATATGTAGTACACATGTGTGTATATATAAGCTATTATTGTTAGTATACCTTTTTTCTTATCGAATTATTGTCATTTATGCCTACTTTATTTCACTTACTTATCTGCTATGAGTTTTTTTTTTCCTTGCTGTTTCACATTGCTTCCGTTATGTATATCTCCACTCCCCTCTGTAATGCCCTCGGGCCCTGAGGGTACAATAAATAAATAAATAAATAAATAAATAAATAAATAAATAAATAAATAAATACATGCAAACTTTTATAAATAAAAATTGACATCCGCATACACTGTTTAGAAATAGCTTCTTTGTTGCACTTTACTCATTTCAGTGGTCGATGGCGGCATCTTCTGCAAGCTGTCCGCAGCCGCCCGGGCACGCCATAAAAGCGTTTTGTGGCTGTCTTGCAATCGTTTAACCACAACAGCTGTAGTATGTGCTGTAATCTCGGGTCGGCAGCGAAGTACCTTAGCCACTAGACCACCGCGGCGGGGTGGTTTAGTGGCTGCTTGCCATTCATCGCGTGACATTCAAATTTGTTGCTATCGCACTCATTGCTTCACCCTTGCAGTGAAACTGACTTTTGTTGGCAGGGATGGTGCACATCAGGAGATGCAAACTTGTAGCAGGTGGTTAATTCGTAGTACATTTAGTGTGTAGTTATGCCGCTGTTCCAGGCAGGTACATATTGATGGGGTTTCACGGTATTGAACAGCCAGATAAAAAGGTCGCTGTACACTTTTGGAAAGGAGCGCCTCTGAAATTTTCACTTCACACCTCTTACTGTGATCTGAGCAGCTCTTCTGGCAATGTTGACTATAACTCCTTCAGGCGTGAATCATGACGCAATATCTGTAAATGTCTAAATTTTGCGCAACATAATTCTAAGGCACTCGCTATTACATTCAAATACTTCTCGCAATGTTGACAATGATGGCAGAGTACAAGTGGATGAAGACTTGCCTGATATATTTCAGTCCAGAATCGATGCTTCATTTGCTTTTTGGTGTGACGCAGAGTCTTGGCATTCTTTATCATGTCCAAGTGCGTGAGCACACCCATGATTCTAGGGAAACCATGAACTTGACAAATGTTCAAAAATTCAAAGGTCTCCATTTCAAAGCCATAGCTGGCATCCACAACAAGCAACACCTAGAAGAGAAGATTTTTTCACATGTCTCCAGAAAATCCACACAAGGCATTTTTAGTTCTAGGTGAGCTGGTGGTACACTGGGCAAAAGAGATGCATTTATGGCTTTTGAAATGTAAGAAAAATGCTTCACATGATACGGCCACCATGATTGTAAATTTTGGGCCCTATTCTGAAATGAATGCAAAAGGTGACAGTCACAAAAGTGTTGCCTTTGGTGTACAATGATTAACTGTTGAACAAAACCAAGAAAGTGCAGATGCCATCTAGTATTATTTACATCAACATGACGCAGCTCTACTGTGCTCCTGGCATAAACAGGGTTGCCTTATTACAATCGGTTGATGATGAAGTTTAGTATTTCAGTGAGACAAGACTATAGTTTCTAGTATTCAAACCTTACTAGATTTGCAAAACATTCTCACTCTGAAGCTCTCAGGAAGCATTAGCTAGGTGTGTTTTCAGCATTAGTTCTTTTGCCAGCATGCGTTTTTCTGGTTTGAACACACCAGAAAGATGAACCATGCATTACTTGCATGTTGCTCGAATTATCGCGTGCCAGAAAATGGTGAGATATTGGTGCAATGTCGCTGCAGCGGTACACTACAGCTGAACTCTTCGAGCACATCGTGTTAAACTCCCCCCAAAAATGCATTTCGCATCAAGTGACATTTTTTTAAATACTACACTGCACTTCAAACAATGTTGGAAAACATGCTGAAAGCTTTTTCAAAATGTTTTATATTTCATTTAGCCACAGCCACGCCTGGTTTCGGGGAAGCCAGCGTATGCTCAAAAACGCCCCACTAGGGTCGCTCGGCACACGTACCGTATGCTCAATCCTATGTAGTCTGTGATTTGTAAACCAACAGCAAATGCGACAATGGCATTGCACTGGCAGATTATTGACATAACAATGTACATCACCAAAGGTGATACTGTTGCCTTGCGCGATCGTTTCAGAATACGGACTTTGGTGTCTCACACTTCATGATAAGCAAAAGCAGTGATAAAACCACATCTTGCATGGATTGAGTACTTACCAAATCAGCTACTTTCGCCACATCTATCATGCAGTTAATATCATTGTTGCACTCTAGAAGTGTCAGCCTGCGCTTTTTTCCTGAAATATTAAGACAACGAAGTTGGAAATTGTAATATGAAACATTCACAAGTTCAATGCATACAAAGTAACAGAAATATGTACTTCATTTCAGCTTTAAACTTCTCCGTAAAGTTCCACGAGGAAGGATACTCCCTAATCAAATGTGAACATATGAGGGCTATCCCTAACTGTCTTTTGAAGAATCCTAATTTAGATGGGAGCTGGGCCATTAAAAAGAATTGTCCCTCGTTTCTGAAGAGCACAGAAGTAGAGTCTACACATCAAAGAAACCAGTCTGTCAGACGATTATTATATGTACACGGCATTTATTTCAGTACCCATCATCCTATTATTGTGGTAGCGTTAAAGAGCTCGTTTCGCAGAAATTCCAGCGTCAGTGTCATTGGTTGTGAGCGAAAAAATCACCATCTTGTGCATGACCGACAAATCAAGAAAGATGCAAATAGAATAAATAATGAAAAATTCTGGGTCTGAGTGGGAATCGAACTCGGGTGGTTTGTGTGGCAAGCAGATGTTCTATCACACAGCCATGTGTCTGCTTGTGAATACAGTGAGAATAACTACCTCTGCTTGAACATGCAGTGAAAGTAACTTCGATACTTTACAAACACACGCATCATGTATACATGCTTGACAATACAACATGAAATATTGCAGCAATAATGCGTGTTACAAGCGTACATCGCGATCGGGCGTCGGAACATGGGATTATCATAATGACTTCATGGTTCAAAGCCAGTTACCCACTGCAAAATGCACACACGTTATGCACCTATCCCCTTAAGAAGTGGGTGTATAGCAAGTTCGAAAAGATTTCATGCACCAGGTTTTCGAAGCGCACACTAGGGAGATGATATCGCCATCACATCCAACTCTTAAAGGGTCCCCAAATTGTTTCTCACAAGTTTTCCCTTTCCTGTTCCCCTGTGCAGAACAGCAGACAGGAGCATACTAGTTCAGACAGACAAGTCTGCCATTATGTAATAAACTCATTCTCTTACTTTGCTCAGTGACAAATGTACCAACACCTCTGATGCAATCTGTCGAATTCACTCATAAAAATTTGCATGTAAAGACAACGTTATCTAATGACTTATACACCAATCTTGTTTCATATTAATTTATAATTTTTAGTTGACACAGAACAATACAAAATCCAGATTTGAGTTAAGCATAATTACAGTCATTTTGAGCACAACCTTGAGTTTATTTAGTCAAAAGTTGATGCTTCATGACTAAAGCATCTCACTTTTAAAGTGACCTAGTCTAGGCATAAACATTCAATAGACAAAATTTCTTGTAAGGGATAAACAATATTATAAAAAACAAGACCATAAGCAGTTATGTAGAACAAATTAAGAAAAGGTGCACTGGAGACACGCAACAAGGAAATTCAACCAACTCAAGACTTTAGCTATGAGCACATTGAATGAACATTAGACAGACTTTCCCCATTAGAACTAGATAAAGAAAGAATATCATGTAATTTGTTGAAGTAGGAATACAATGCACTTTGAAAGCACTATTTCTATACAAATATCCTGCATTTTCATTACAAACTAACCTGTGCAACAAAGCATGAGATGCACATTTGTGCTTGTAAACGCACACTGCCGTTAAAAGGGCACTAACGGCATCTATTAAGTCGACATTGATTGTTAAAATAGCGGTCCAGAAATCTCGTAGTGTTATTTTTGTGCCAACGAAGGGCCTATTTTGTTATAAAATTACGTATGTGGTCCGCATCGGGTTAGCGCACTTCAAACTACCTGCCTCAAGAAGCGGACCGACCGGACCGACTCGCGTCACTGTTGCCGTGCACGTTGCCCTGCTTTACTGCGCTAGTAGTAGCATACTGAAAGCAGCGGGAGCCACAGCAGCAACAACAGCCATTGATCCATTTCCCGCCATTGGCTTCGAGATTGCAGACGTTTTTGTTTCAACTAGGCCACGCTAGATGGCACCACCTGTCGTGCGTAACCACGCGAAAATTGAAGTTTTAAACCATTTGCGCCATTCCCTGTAGCAACGTCCGGTGATTCTTTTTTCCATTAATCAAACAAAAACGAACAAGCAGCATTTTATCGTCTCTTGATGCACGGAATATTCTTTATTTAGTGCAGTTAGATCGATTACTAGTGATTAATCGTAGGCGGTCCGTCTGATGTCATCGTGATCATTTTGTAAATGTCCTCCTGCGGCGCTTGTGTTCTTGGGCATTTACCTTAATTTCTGAGTAAGTAGGACACTGTTGTTGATAATATTGCCATTTTAGATGTCACACAATGAGCTGTCACTCTGACGTGAATTGTTACTTGAATTTAGTGTCCCTTTAAATGCATGATCATGCCGTGTTGCCAGCTTGTACAACTTATCGAGGTTTCACTGTATTATTAGATAATTCACAGTTGCTCATGTTAGCGCCACCACTTCTGCGGGGAAACCACAGAGATAACAGCGATAAGACGGGCACTAGCAAGCCCCATCGAACTACATTGGATATGGATGCGGCCACGTCCTTTGCGTAGCCAACGCTTACTGCTGCTCGGGCGACGATAATAATCGGCTAGATTTAGCGGTTAACATTTGAAATCGACAATTATTGTGGAAATTGCCACTAATGCGCAGCATGTCAGATTGGTGCCGAATAGCTCAGTTGGCACAGCACTTCCAGCCCTGGTAACTGAACGAAATTTGCTGTCCCGTGAGTAGTGCTTACAGCCCATTCTAAATCATAATACGCATTTCCGCAGGGCAGTGGTGTACTGTGGCAAAGGTGGTTTAAGTAGCGTTCCGCACGGGTTATAGCAAGGTGAAAAAATTTTTCAACACCGCTACGCCCCCCTCTTTTTTTTTTTTATAATGAAGGTTAGTTTTAGGGCACAACATCTCTGCTCGCTTGCAAGGCGCACACTACCAGATAAAGTAACAGCGGCGCACACCCATTGGTCCAGCAACGGCATTGGGTATCTTATCACCCGGACGACGCAACTAAGGCAACTGCAAGACAGAAAAATGTTTTATGTGTTGTTGCTATGGCGACCAATGTGGCCACCAGCAACACCGGCGTTCACAGCACGTCGACTCTGCTCGCGCGTGGAAAACGTGGTATGCGCTCCCAGCTCTAGTTACTAACATGCCATAGCCGCTTTTGCTCACTAGAAAATTCATATTTCCCGCGAAGCATTAGTGACTACGGCAACTCATATTTTTCTTGAAATTGGGTTGTCCCATCGATAGGTATTCGTTGCGGTAAGCGGACCGATGGGCGCACGGCTTTGTTACTTTATCTGGTCGATCGTCTCGCTAGTGCCCTGACCTAATGGGATTAAGGTTAGTGTGATTAGGTTACTGTGGTTTAAGGTTAGAGTCTGCACGCTTGGATTAAGTCATGACTCAAACTGCAGGTGGGCAATAAGGCCTTCATTTCTCACTGAACTTAGCGCAACTGAGAAAACTTTGAGGCTGGTCGGCTGTTTTGGTGCAGCGTGTTGCAATTTTCGCAAACTTCGTGGTTTTGGCGCTGCTTGGGGCAAAAATGAGTATTTGTATCAAATTGGCCCAATCGGCCCAGCTGTTGCACTCCTGTGCATGGCATATTGGGCGTTCACTTCATGTCATCTCGCAGCGAGAACAAAGTATTTGCACTGTTTTGTCATTATTATGATCAGGCATAGTTTTGATATGGTTAGACAGCCTAAGACACCATCCCAAGTCACGAAATCATTTTATTTTAATCTACCTGAAGGCCCACAGCAATTAATGCTGTCAACATGAAACATACTTTTACTAGCAATGTAGGATTTAAAGTTAGACCTAGTGCATATAGGAAGGTCCATAGCTAAAATTACATGCACGCAAGATGGGGACCTTTGAGTTGGAACAGGTGACACAAATGCACTCCTTCAGGTGCCCAGCCACTGCTGTGGCATTAGGATGCGACAGTGCATCCCGCACACTCGAAAGTTTCAAAAATTCCATGAACTCACAAACAAATTGATTGATATAATTGATATGTGGTATTTAACATCCCAAAACTACCATATGATTATGAGAGACGCCATAGTGGAGGGCTCCGAAAATTTTGACTACCTGGGATTTTTTAATGTGCACCCAAATCTGGGCACACAAGCCTACAGCATTGTCGCCTCCATCGAAAATGCAGCCGCCACAGCCGGGATTCGACCCCACAACCTGTGGGTTAGCCGAGTACCTTAGCCACTAGACCCCCGCAGAGGGGCCACTCCCAAATAAACAGGTATCAAGGTCATAACAGCAGTAAACACTGAATGGTATTTCAAGGCAAGACTACTCAAACTGAAACAATGTTTTTATTGCGGCCATACCATATGATTAACCAGTTTTGTGTATGGATAATTAATGCTATCCGATGTAGAACATAAGAAAAGAAATGTGGCCACCCGTGCACAAGATGGCTGCAAGATATTCTTGAGGCGACAGAGCTATGTCTAGGTTAGCTTAGAGAATTTATATGAAACAGCTCTCACTGGCACTAATATAGTCATCGCATAGCATTGGTGGCTACAACAATGCATTGTTGTCTTAAAGTTCTGTTGTCCTCCCGATAGGTATTCGCTGTGGTCAGCGGACCAATGGGCACGCAGCACTGTTACTTTCTCTCGCGAGCGTAGAGCGGGTGCCTAAAATATTTCAAGTATATTCTAGGCACTTGTACGTATATTCTGCGCGCTTTCACTGACGGCGCAAGCTGCAGATGGTCAACGTGGCCTGCATTTCTTGCCGAAATTAGCGCACCTGAAAAAAATTTTGAGGCTGGCTGGGCATTTTGGAGCAGCGTGGCACGATTTCAGCAAATTTCACTAGTTTGGTACAGCTCGGCACAGACACAGCAATCGGAAATTGTGTCAAACTGGCGCAATTGGCGCAGCTGTTGCACCCCTGTTTGATCCTCACACAAGTCCTCGAAGAGCTGCCAGATCATGTTCACCGTGTGTTGTCCTTCCCAGCGGAAAAGA